GTAGAGCATTGTCTTTATAATGTCAGGAAGTTTTTAACAGTGATACAATATTATTATCTAATCTACAGTCATTTAAAAATTTTGTCCATTGTCTCTATATGGGTTTGTCTTATGTTCCTTCTGATTTGGGGTTGTCTGATGTTCCTCCTGGTTAGATTCAGGTTTTGTATTTTTGGCAGGAATATCACAGAAGTGATGTTACACTCTCAGTGCATCATGGTAGGAGGCACAGGATGTTGGTTTATCCTATCTTTGGTGGTGTTAACTTTAATCACTTGACTAAAGTGGTGTTCACCAGCCTTCACCACTGTAAAGTTAGTATTCCTCCTTTGTTACTTTTAAGTAATTTGAGGGAATACGTGGGTGGTGCAAATGGTTAACGTGCTAGACTGCTAACCGAAAGGTTGGCAGTTTGAGGTCACCCAGAGGCACCTTGGAAGAAAGGCCTGGCAATCTACTTCAGAAAAATCAACCTTTGAAAACCCTGTGAGCACAGATCTATTCTGACACCTATGGGGTTGCCATAAATTGGGATGGGCTGGACTAATGGATGGCAACTGGTTTATATTGAAACTATGTAACTGTTGGAGGCTTGGTGGCACAGTGGTTAAGCACTTGGCTGCTATCTGAAAAGTTGGCGGTTCAAACCCGCAGGAGAAAAGATCTGCTCCTGTAAAGATTTCAGCTTAGGAAACTCTATGGGGCAGTTCTCTGTCCTATAGGGTCGCTATGAATTGGAATCAACTCGACGACATACCATAACAACTCGTGTTTGTTATACTTTCACCTACTAGTGTTAGCATTAGTTGATGATTCTGGCCTGAGAAATGATTACTATGATGGCTGCAAAATGGTGACTTTCTAACACCGTTTTTCTTTCTACATTTATCAGTTAGCATGGTACTATAAGGAAGAATATTCCCTTCTCTGTCTCTTATTTATTTATTCATGCATGAGTCCTTATTTTATTTAGTAGGTTATCCTCCATTATTGCTTTTATTTATTTTGATGCTCAAATTGTCCCATATTTGTAAAGTAGAAGCCCTTTCTATTTGGCTCCTGTTTATATATTCATGTCATAAAGTCAAAATAGAATACCAGTTGCCATTGAGTTGATTCCGACTCATGGTGACCCCAT